TATTGTGAAAATAGAGGGATTTTAGGTGATGGTTCTAAGTTTAAATTCTGGGTTGCATGTACAAATCTTCAAAAGGAGGACTTTCCACAAATAGTCGCACTTTTACCTTTCTCAGAGTTGAGGATGAGAACATCTTTCCAATTCCAGTTGAACTGTCAATTTTTGTCAAGAAAAGAGCACAAGACTGAGTCAAGATTTATGCAAACCTTCCATTCAGCAGACCTTTGTCTCCATACGTAGTTGGTGGAGTACCCACGTCCTGGTTGCAGTGTTGGGTGCTAGAGATGTAAAGATGATTTAAAGATGTTTAGGCCAGGGAGACTAAGACGTGGCCAGAATGCCCTGGACGTCATTTCCAATCCTGGCATGCTCACTGAGTGTGCCTGTGAGACCCTCTGGCCTTCACTGTCGCCATATCTAAAATGACAGTTTTTGAGTTTAATGATTTACAAGCATATGCTAAAATTTCATGAGTGCTGGGTGCTTAGCACTGTGCTAGATGCTGTACGAAGACATTTTTAAAAGTATAAGACAGTTCTGGGTACCAGGAATCTTATGATCTGGTAGGGAAAGGAAACCACAATTAGAAAATAGATCAATAATAATATTGAGAGTCATGTAGTGAGATGTAAAATAAGAGATCGTAGGGATGAGATTATGAGAAGGTTATGTGCTTAGCATTTTATTGTATCAATGGTTAGCTGCAATTTCTGTAATAAAGAACCAGAGTAAACTGCCTAATTTGATGCTAACCTGAATTCCCACTTGATAATTCCGACTTGCATAATCTGTAGAAAGGGAGTTCAGCCTGCTTTGTTCTCCCACGTGTTAAACTTTAAAAGAATGCATTCTCAGTGTACTGAGGTAATTAGAATTTAGTGTGAAAGATACATTTTTAGGGCATAGTTCTGCATCCCAGAACCCTTTTTACATTGTAATACTTTATATGATTTTGTTCTTGTCAGCTGCTGTATTCCCAGCACCTAGTACACTGCCTGACATATAGTAAGCACGCAGGAAATATAGCTGAGAGACAAATTGGAAATTACATTTGAATTGTCAGCAGTTTTTAAGTAATTTGAAATTTATTTTACTATTAAAAGATACTCAGTTTCGAATATTGTTTTTTTAAACCTTAGATCTATTTATGTGGTAGGACAAGTTACCATTTTACAAATGTAATTTTAATGAAGTTGGTAGCTTTTTATTTAGTAGCTTTTTCATACTTGTGTAAGGAAATGTTCCTCTAGGTGAATGAGCTTTCGCACTGTGTTAGTTCTCTGTTACTGCATTTGACTGCACCTTCACGGGAGGCCTTAAACACCAGAACTGCCCCACCAAGCCATTCCCAAATTCTAACCCATAAGAAACAGTGAGAAATGATAAATGTTAGAAACGTGAAGTTTTGTGATATCACAATATAAAGTCTTTCATATACTTTATCTGAAGGCTGTTCATCAGTAAATCACCCTGCCTTCTCCTTCTGAAAAGGAGTGAAGCACTTTAGAAGAAAAAGATAAATTAACCCATTAGAGTCTAGTTTCCTGAGTCAAATATAAAAAGAGTATATTTACTCTTAAAATATTTATATATTATAGAATAGTTCATGTTAATTATAAAAATCAAAACAGTGCAGAAGGGTAATCAAAGGAAGTTCTAAAAAATCATCCCAAATCCTGCCGTATTTTGGTGGCTCTTCATCTGAAATGCTTATGTACATGGATGCACACACCCAGATCTCTCTCTTCCGTAAGTGGAATCATGCAATTCATATGTGTTTTTAAGTCTTTTTTAGCCCACACCCTTTTTTTTAAACACTTGTCCTCCTTGATTAACAGAAACACTAATGCCCTCCTTGAGTGTGATTTGAAATTTCATAGTAAAATTAAGTAGCATGACCAAAACCAGTTTTAGACAGAGGTAATTTAAAAGGGGAAACATTTCAGTTTAATCTTAAAAGGACCTTTACATAACATGACTTTGGCTTGTTTCCCATAAAACTATTAACCCTAGATAATATGGAAGACAGAGCATAACACATCTTTTAAATAATTTGCTCATTGGAGGAGGAGCTGAGAGCTATTTAGGAGAGTTCTGTTGATAGCATCTTAGCCTTTCTTCTGTTCCCTTGAACAGTTTAGTTCTTGGCCCCAAATGTGTGTATTCCTCTCAGCTAAACAGTAGACCTGCAGTTAATGGGAGGTGAGCCCTTTTAACCTGGGTATTCTCCTGTTTGGGAGTATTACCCCTGCCACAATTCCCACTTCAAGTAAGTGATCTTTCTAACAGCATACAAGACTGTCTCTAAGGTGAGTTTTTCTTCCATCTTTTCTTCTTTTTTGTGATGTTTCAGTGGCCCTTTTAGATAGGCTGGCCCACCCATTAACCTATCTGTTTCCATATAAAATTTGGCTATCATCTCATACTTTATACTCTTGACTTCTCTTCTTCCTAAACTGGACCCTGTTGAGTAAATCCCTCTGGACGGAGATCGCCACTGCTGTTTCCCTGGTCCAGGGGCCCAACATCTTTCTTGCCTGAAATGGACTCCTTTCTGGTCTCTTCGTTTCCATTTTACCTTTTTACCCCTTTCCATACAGTATACAGGGTGATCTTTTAAAAGCATTGGATATTACCGTTCTTAAAACCTGCTTTGTGCTTCAAATAAAACCTGAATTAATTGCTGCCGCTTCCGAGGCTCTGCGTGGTCCACCTTTGCTTCCCCCTTGTCCTGATCTTTTGCTGTTCTCTTCCTCAGTCACTCTATTCTAGCTGCGTTGCCCGGGCATATCAAGATTTCTTCCCCCAGAAATATCAGACTTGTTCCTGCCTTCACGCCTCTGCACCAGCTGTTTCCTCTGCCTGGAATGCTCTTCCCCAGAACTGTGCATGGTTGGCCTCTTCGCGTTATTCAGGCTTCAGATTTCACCTCCTCCAGAGGTCTTCCCAGTCTTCCACTCTAACGTGGCTCCTGTTTTCTTGCAGCTTCCTGTTTCATTTTCTGCATCACATTTAGCAATCTTTAGCCATCTTTATATGTTTGTCTCATATTTATCGTTTCTTCTTCCCTTGCCGGAATTTAAGTATCATGAGACTGTAGATCTTGTCTATCTCATCCACCCTGTATTCCTAACACATAGAACGATGCTCAGTAAATCTTATCTAAGTGAAAAGAATCAGTGAGGGAATCACTCAGATGGAGAAATGTATTTTTTTACCCTCTGGGGTGGCTGGAACCAGCCGTTCAAGTAGTGAGGGAGGAAGGGCCAAGCACAAAAACACTTTCCTAGTCCTGGGTAAGGCATAAAGTGAATAACAGAAAGTGTGGCCCAACAGTGAATGTAACAATCTAGAAGCTCATTTCACATTGAAGAGGGACAAGCTATTCAAACAAATTAAAATCAGATTAATCCTGAGATTTCCTGTACTATTAATAACTTCAGTCATTAAGCTATGTAGGTAATTGGATCTTCAAGCCCCCCAAAAGACACTTGATTGAATGTTTTTTATCTTAAATCATTTAAAAACATTGTTGTTTGGATATGATGTAAGAGAAAAAATTCTTAGCATTGCTTGTAGAGTCATTTTGGCCATTAGAGACTGCTTTATATTTTGTAATGCTAAAATGGATGTGTTTTCCATAAATGATTTCAAAGAACTGCTATGTTGTGGGCTCGAAAAGGTTACAGTATAAGGTAAGTATTTTAATACCTTTAATAAAATGCCCTGAAGAATTTTTTATATTGAAAGGTAAAGAATGTGTTCTTAAAAACCTGTGAGAAATTAAATTAGGTTACTCTGCCACAGTAGTGCAACTTTGTTGTTTACTTCATAAACAGATGTTTTTATTAACTCCTAAAGATAAAGAATAATCATCAGCCTAGTGATTTGTATTGAATACTTCAGAGTTAAAGTTTCTGTCTGTCTCTTTTCTTTTTCACATTCAAATAGTTTTGGGAAAAAGTAATAGTAAATCTAATGCGAGGTCTGAGTTAGCTGTTTTTGAGCCAGCACCTCTCCAGTTTAGTGTCAGATGAGTGTTACCCTTCAAAGTGGCCAACTAGGGAAACTGCACATCTGTTCCAACAATGCTTCTGTTCCTTCAACTACTTTTGTAGGTTCTTTCTCAGAAATATTTCATAGCCAGTTTTGGAATTATGAAAGAAAATTAGCCTTCCTGCTCTATTTGGCAAATTAGAAACTTTACTTTTTTTTGTCTAAAAAGACGTACAACTTCCTCAACTGACTTCATATTAACTTTTTATTAATTTATGAAGCCGTGAGTGCTCTTATGACTCATAAGATCACGGGAGAGATCTTATAAAGTAAATCTGTGTAAAGAGCACAGAACATTGTATAACTCTATGAAGTAATAGATTAAAAAAAAAACAACAAAAAGCAGGCTGTTGAGACCTGGGTGACTAACTCACCCCCCTTATAAATTTGCATTTTATCTGAAACTGAGTGTAGCGCATTGTGCTCTCCTACAGATGTAAGTTATGGGGTGCCAACTCTAGAGGAAGCGCTTTATTTTTGGGGAAAGAGAGAAAACCATCTGGTACCAGAAAAAGGCCAAAAGTGGGCTCTTTTTAGTACTAACTGAGTGAAAACTTAGAGTCTATATTTAAAATATGACCGTAAAACTACTCTTCTTTTACAATTCTTGGCACCAAAGACTACAGACCTGTTTTGGATCATATACCTGTTTTCAAAGTTGAGATACGCTTCTTTGAGGGAAGTAGTTGAAGCAGTGTTGGTAGTTGTTGTTAGAAGGCAGATAGGTTTTACTGTTATTTAAATGAGTTTCTTTAGAGCAAGTCTTACTTTTGTTTTGTCTTGGCCTCCATGACTATTAAGAGCTTTTATTTTTTCCTATAAGCCAGGGTTTTAATCGTTTATCTGTAAGGATCACCTTTTATTTACTTTATTAAATATCATAAATATGTGGGGTTTTACAAAACTCTTTTCATCTCTTTCTTTCTTTCTTTTTTCCCTCAAAGCTGCACGTCATTGACTCCTGGACCCAACTGTGACCGATTTAAATTGCACATACCATATGCTGGAGAGACATTAAAATGTAAGTAAATGATGACTGTTTTACTGAAAATGTAGATTACAGTGCTAGCTTTTGGACGTTGTGCTTTAGTTGTATTTCTGGCTTTTAGGTATTATTTCTTAAGGTATTTTCATGAGGATTTACCACTTTTTGAAAATTTGTGCTTCAATCTTAATTCTAGTGAAACTAAGGTAATCGGCCAGGAATAAGTTGTGATCAAGTGTGCACGCACATGGTATGTTTTATAGCAAAGGTCAGAAATACAGATGGCTACAAGGCCAGACTGGTAGGTAACATGAATGAGGGAAGGGGGCTGGGTGTGGCAAATTGGGGCATTCCTGTTTCAGCTTGAAGGATTGCCCCTGCTGATTTATTGAGAGAAGATAAGCATCTGAATTTTTATATGAATTCTGTCAGTGTTAGATGTTGGCCACTCTTTCAGAATTACAAGCATTGTGGGCCAGCATTATGCAGGCCAAACCAAATGTGTGTGTGGGCTGCCCTGAGCTCTTGGATCACTGGTTTGTGACTTTAGTGAATGTTTGCAATAGTTGTTGGATTTAGTCCACCATCTACACTGTTGGTCTCGGTCGCATCAGCCCTTCTCTGCCATTATTACCAGTGCTGAAGCTCTAGCCTAGAATGGAAATGATGATAGCTTTGGTTGGCTAGTATCTATAATCTCATCAGGAATTTTCTGTCTTAAACCTGTACTTGTGGTGTACGGGGTATGAAAGTCTCTCTATTCTTACAGAGAGAAATAAAGAACAAAGATGGTGAAGATAGGACAGATGAATGAACAGTGCCTTCGAGACCATGGACTGTGTGTTTTACCATCACAGGCCAGGAGAGGCCACACCTTCATTTGCTGTAGAATCACTTTTTATTAATTTACCAAATGCAACATGAACTAAAAATGTGTGACATGCTAACTTATTAACTTTGCATTATTAGATCATTCTTTGGCAACCATTAAAACACAAAAGAATTTCACCTGGCTGAGGTAGTAGGACAGATTAGATTGCTACTATTTAAAAAAATTATTAACTAAATTTAAATGAAATGATCAAAAGTAAGTCATTCACATGGTTAGAAATAGAAATAATTCAGTTTTTTATGCATGAAAGCAGTAGTCCTCTGTCCCATTGCTCCTCAGTCCTAGTCCTGTTTCTCAAGGCAACCGCTTAAAAATTGTTAAAATTGTTTAAGTGTTTAGTTCTTCTTGGGATGATCTCCATATGTCTAAGTAATACGCTTATGCCTCTTGTTTCTTGACTTATCAGTTTTAGATGTTATCATTTGACTTCCTGCTCTGATACATATGGCATCAGCCTATTTTCACTTCACCCTTTATCTCTCTCTTCTCCTTTTCTTTAATGCAATTATATAGCCACTGTTAGTTCCTGTTCCTGGTCAGCTTGTAGCTTTAAATTTTTCTTTTCTTTTCTTTCTTTCTTTTTTTTTTTGAAGGGTTATTTTAAGTGTGGTAAATATGCTTAAAATATTTCTATAGTTAAGTGAACAACCCCTAAAAATTCTTAGTAAGTGCTTGGCACACGGTTACCACTTAGTCAAAATCTCTATGCAATAGTGATGAGTACTTAGTATGCTTTTGTTTAGTTTCCCAGTAACCATGGATAGTGTCTTTTGGCTTCCTACTCTGTAAGATGAAGGTATTAGCCCCCGCCCTTCCTTCCATTCCTCTTTCTTTGCCTCCCAGCTTTGGTTTTCTGTTACTTTCCTTTTGCATTGTCAAGATCAATAACTTGTTGCCTGTTCTAAATCTATAATTGCTGTCCATGCTTTGTCTATAAATTGCTTGAATGATTATCCTGCGTACCTGCTCCTGTAGTTATCACTGTGGGCTTTACTTTTTACTATCCTCTTGGATTTGGCCTTGTAGTGTAGAAACTATGTCTTGAAGAGCCTGTGTTTTTAGAATTCTTTCTTGGTAAACAGGTTATCCTGTTATCTTGCTGGAAAAACAGTCTCAAACAGCCTGCTGGGATGCCACTCTCCTCTCCATCCTTCTACCTTTCCTGTAGCCTTGCTGAAGCTTGTATTACCACGGTCATAATTAGGTATCTTAATTTCTAAGAACTCTTTCTCTAGAGCTCTGTTCCTCTTTCATAACATCTTGTTCTTACTTTATGAATACAGTATATAAAAAAGCTTTAAAAGACTATAGAGTTTTGTTGTTTTTTAAAGTTTTTTTTTCTGTTTTCTGAATTATTTTGATTTTTCCCTAGGGATTATATTTTTGTTTATCATCTTTTTTTAACCACTGTGATTCTATAGCCTTTCCTCAAATAAAAAGTGGCTATTGGTTGTCCATTTATATTTGAAACACATGATAAAACTCTGATTGGGACTTCTGTATAGGCAAGGCTAATTGAGTATGTGGGTTTTAATGGTGGGCAAGCTGAGTGACCCCTATGTATTATGTTTTGGAGTTCAGCTGATCTAGCTCTCCCCCAAATAGTGTATTCTATTTTTTAAGAAAAGCCCCTGTATTTTTTTCCTGGGATACACATCTGACCACCATGCCATTGTAGAGGGATGGATATATAGATTATAGCACATGGAGATTTTAGTTGATCTCCCTGTTCGTAGCCCCATGTCTCATTCTTGCCTCCTCACACCGGATGACTACAAGTTTTTATGGGTTTCCAGAACAGATGGCTTCGTCCTCATCAGTAGCCTCTTCCTCACTTTACTGCAACCAAAGCTTTCTCTGCCCTATCTCATCAAGTACTACTCCCCCATCTGCATTCTGTCTTCTAGGAATTTGTGGAAATGTCTCATCTACTGATTTGCCACTGTTTTCCCTTCCTCTTTATTCTCCTGTTTTGGATTTTTATCTTTCTATTCTTTCACTATTATTGAATGGGAGGTGGGTCTTAGAAGAGAGAAGAAATAAAAGTTTGTGGTCAGTTCAGTCTTGAGCCAGAAATAATGTGACTTCACACGGATCCTTCTAACTGTATGAGTTTATGTTAGGAAGCATTTACTGATATCGTGTACCCTCTCAATACTGTAAGATTTTCATGGGAAGCCTCTTAATAACATTGGTGATTAGGGTATTTGAACTGGGATTTACCATACAAGTTAGTTATGTCCTATAAAATTATTGCTTGATATCATCATTATGTGTTAGGGACTTAATTTAGTCTGAAGAATGCTCTATAATAATTGACTAATAAATAAACTTTGTATGCTGAGATTCTTGCACATTAAGGTGAGTCAAGATTCTAGCCTTAAGCAGCCCATAGCCAAATAGAAGGAAAAGGCAATTGATTATGGAAACTATATTTACCAAAGTTCATTGAATTGGAAGAATGAGATTTTTGGTTTTTTTTTTCCTCTTCTGAAATTCCTGACATTATCCTTTCTTAAGGCTGTTGGCCATATGATTAACTTTAGTTTTGGAACCAAGTTATAGCAGGGGGTGCCGAGCCATGGAAAGATTTGATTAATGGACTAGAGGAAAGTCGTATGTACAAATTCCTTCTAGGCTTTGGAAAGAGATAGTGTTTAGGGTGCCATTTCACCCTTTGCTTTAAAAAATTATCTGAAAAACTGTCAAATTCTTACCTTTGAAGTACCCCAGTGCTTCAATATTGGAGGCCAAACGATAAACTTCTTTAGATTTCCAGGTAGAAATTGCTTTAAAATATCTATTGAAATGTGATAGAATCATCAAAAATAAATGAAATTGACTACAGAAATTACAAAACATGAGTCATTCTTCTCTGACTATAAAAATTGAAGAATTTACATAAGGAAATCAAAACAAAAACCTTTTGAACACATAGTTAACACTCAAGTGAAGATCAGTTGAACCATCTTTACTGGACTATTGTTCTATGCACCTGCCCACCTAAATTTGTTCTTGTCAGTAATTATATAGCGAGGTTGTTTTGCTTTTCTTAATTTGTATGATATTTAGGCCATGGCTATTTGAAGTTTCTTTCTTTGTAATTGTACTTATTTATTTCAAAATTAAATCTGTTTACAGTATTTATACAGTTATCCATTGGTATCCATGGGGGTTTGTTCCAGGAGCCCCTGCAGATACCAAAATCTAATCCAGATACTCAAGACCCTTAAATGAAATGGCGTAATACCATTGGTCCTCTGTCCCCAAGGGTTTCACATCTATGGATATGGAAGGCCGACTATAAATGTTTCTAAGAGGAGTTTGTTGAGTTATGATGCATTGACAGTAGTAGTAATGTAAACAACCTCTTTTTCTAAAGTTTCCCATTCAAAATTTATGGTGTGTGGTTTTAAACTATAATTTTAACCAAGACTGCATCAGTATATTCAGAGCTTATAGTAATTTTACTACATAACTTTAAGCTCAGCAGAGTTAGAGATGGAGATTTTTTTTTTAAATTAAATTGTATCAGCAGTCCCTAGCACAGTGAAGATATTCAACTAAATATTTGTTGAAGGAATGGGATAAATGCATGCATGTATCAGTGAATCTTAGTGTTCAGATTTTTGTTGGTTGAAGCAGAGTGTTGTAACATTCTGTTACTCGTATCAGTTTTTGCCAACAGAAATTCAGTCTTTAGAAGTTATTTATTATACAAGGAATTTGTAATTGGAACATTGCTCTTACCAATTCAGAAAACAGGAAGGACATACTGTACTTTGCAGATTTGGAGTCTGTTTCCATTTTGTCTTTATATATTCTACTCTGCCTTCTCAAAGCGGATTAATGAAAATGGTATGTAACTAAATTTTATATTTTGGAATATTTTATATATTATAAAACAGTTCTTCTATAAATAAGTGTTTTATCTATGGATAAAGGAAACTTTGCAGTTAATGATAGTGAGAATGAAAGGCAGAAGAGAGGGCATATTTCTACCCATGAATTCATGAATTGATTCCTACAGAATTACCCACATTCAAAATGAAATAATTGAAATCAAAAAGCCCAGAAGATCACAGTAAATTAGGAATGATGTTATTCTTTTCTCAGCTCTTTTATTGTGAAGAGACAACTGTTG